AAAGGAAATTTTCTGGCTGGGAGACAGCGAGCTCTTGGTCCAGTTGACTTGGAGACCCAAAACTTGCTATCAGCTCTGTCTCTGACTGGGCTAGAATTAGCCAGTCGTCCAAATAGTTCCGTATTCGCAGGAAAGTGGCTCTTTCGGACTCTTTCATGTCGGACAAAGTTAACCACAAGTGTCTCTCGTGACAGTGAGAGACAACATGTTTCTCCCGATAGCCTGTGCAGCAGACTTGGTGGCTCGTAGAGCTAAGTCTGTGGTGCTTCTGAGGTCCGTGAAATTCTCAGGCTTCTCCGTAGAACCAGCGATGTGTACACTTCGCTGAAGAGAAGAAAAATCAAGGATCACCCTATCTGGACTCAGCTTATATAGACATAAGCCCTGCCCATTCTGGCGGGACGTGACGTGCACGGGCGCCCACGCCCTCATTGGTGCTTACGTCACGAACAGTCCCTCGATAGGGTGCAGCAGTTGCTGCAGAGCAACCAATAGGCGTGCGAGCCGCCTTGCCTAGGTCTGCTCTGTGCAGCAATGCGTTTTAAATTAATACAAAATTAAGGATAATTTTTTGGCTTCAGTATTCTCGAGAAAAGGGATTTTCCCATAGCGTAAACTAGCTTACGCAACACGAGAGTACTCTCGTAAGAGAACATACATCCAGGCTGTGTGAGTCAGAAGCGCCAGAATGTACTCGCAAAGATGGAATTGCCCCACTTTTTAGAATCAGCCTCTGTGCACAGCCGGCCTTGTAGCTACTCTCCCAGGTTCTGGAAACAGTCCTCCGAAAAATGTGCAGCACACCGTCGAATATTTTGGTTGTGCTGTTCTGGAACAGTGTTGTAAATCAAGCTTAACCACTGTTTTCTCAACATGACATCATGACTTTGCGTAAACATACACGCCACTTTCTAAAGCCAAGTGGCGTGTTATCTGTACGCATTTTGAGCTATCCGCGTGTATGTCTACGCCGTTAAATGTTCTGAGCGAAACTACCATCATCCCCGCATATGATTTCGCGTGAATGTCTACGCCGAAACAAACCATTATCCCCCGCTGGCATTCCGCGTGTATGTCTACGCCGTAACGAACCATTATCCCCCGCTGGTATTCCGCGTGTATGTCTACGCCGAAACGAACCATTATCTCCCGCTGGTATTCCGCGTGTATGTCTACGCCGAAATGAACCATTATCCCCCGCTAGTATTCCGCGTGTTTGTCTACGGCGAAACGAACCATTATCCCCCGCTGGTATTCCGCGTGTATGTCTACGCCGAAACGAACCATTTTCCCCCGCTGGTATTCCGCGTGTATGTCTACGCCGAAACTAACAATCATCCCCGGATGTGATTCCGCGTGTATGTCGACGCCGTAACTAACAATTAACCCCGGATGTGATTCCGCGTGTATGTCTACGCCGAAACTAACAATTAACCCCGGATGTGATTCCGCGTGCATGTCGACGCCGTAACTAACAATTATCCCCGGATGTGATTCCGCGTGTATGTCTACGCCGAAACTAACAATTATCCCCGGATGTGATTCCGCGTGTATGTCTACGCCGAAACTAACAATTATCCCCGGATGTGATTCCGCGTGTATGTCTATGCCGAAACTAACAATCATCCCCGGATGTGATTCCGCGTGCATGTCGACGCCGAAACTAACAATCATCCCCGGTGTGGTTCCGCGTGTATGTTTTCTAATTGTGTCCTCTTGGAATGCCAAACAAAGTAGTTTGGCTTTTGCAACAAAAAACACAGCGTCTCTACGACATGGTGGCGCCGGCGGCAACAATAATACAGCGAGAATAAAAGTTACGCCTTCTTTCTTTGCGTATAAATTTGGGCGGTTTTATGAAACTCTGCCCCCACATACTAATGAAGGCGTGGCTGAGCCTTAACTTTTACAAAGAATATCTCTTTGGGTTTGAGACTTTGAGCTTTGTAACACTGCAGATCTTATACATGCACATAACACAATAAAGAAAAAGGAAAACAAGAAATCGCATCATATGACCCCTTTAAACTTCCTGCTCCCCACCAGCGAGTCACAATTAACAAAAGCATGGTAGGCGCTGCCAGGGGTATCAGAGTGGGTTATGAAATCAGTAAATACACGGTAAAACACACTTCAGTTCTTTCGCAGACTGCCCCGTTTCAACTGTGTGTTATTGTCCACTGTACGGGAGAAGAATGCCTCAGTTCTACCAGAAAGACTCGGGAGGATAAATACTGTAACAATAAATAAATTTATTGATAGCCCAGCAAGCAATAAAGTTCTTTGGCGTAGGCCCCGTCCATAGCTCGCAATCCGAGGGTCCGGACTCTGCATTTCCTGCCTGAAGACGAAGGCAGGGGCGCAGCCGACCCCCTGGGAGGTAGAGGAAGGGACCATCCTGGTGGTGGTGGGGAGGTTGGAGGGGAAGAACCATCTTGGTGGTGGTGGGGAGGATGGAGGTGAATGAAAGCGTCAGCATCTGCAAACTCAAACATGTGTAAGTACTGGTCTTTTATACCGCAAGTATTAGACACGATTGGATAGATGAGAAGGTAATAAGTGACGTAGCAATTGAGTCTTACGCTAAAGCTTCCATTTCTGCGAGAGGAAATACACAACCTTCACGTAAAACGTGCTATAGAGACAGTGCCCGTAGCAGATATTTTCTGGTGCCAAAGACGGCGGAATCGCAAGGGCCATCTTGAATTGTCACTTGCTAGATTGGCCCACTGCTACATCATTATGAAAGTTTTTCATTTGCACATGTTTTTAAGTCTTGTCAATTTAAACATTCAAGCAATTTTTAACCATTCAGATTCAAGCACAAGACGACGTGAAAGATTTTTTTTCAGCTCGCTGTTTTCTATGCACACACACACAGACTCATACAGTTCCCTGTGTGCATGCCAAAACAGCTCATGATTACTTTTTTGTAATCTAAATAATACAAATAATTTGTCTTCTTCAATGGAAAAATGTTTGGAAAAATAATGAAATATTTTGAGTGTTCAAGCAAACACAGTTGGTTATGTCTTAACTAAACGTAAACAGAGGAGAAAGATAATGTGCAACAGTATTGGATCCATCCATTAGGTCTTAAAGTGACAACAGCCTAATATTCCTGCAGCCATCTGTGACATTAATGTTAATCAAACAAAAAAAGACTAAGAGAAAATCACTCACTGATCTTGACTGAGCATATTTTGTAGCTTTAACAAAGGATTCATTTATATTTAATTTTTACAGTGAACATTGTGCAGTGTTATTTTATGTTTGATTATTAAATTTCTGTAGGCTTTATTCTGAATAAAGCACTGTTTTTTAAAAAAAAATATTATCTTTGTTCTGTTGTATTTATTTGCGCTGTTGATTGTAATTTGTTCATTTGTCATCTCATTTTATTGAAGACTCACCTGTCTTCAATAATGTTTGAACTTTATATTAGTTAGTCTAGTTAGATAACTTTGGTATCGAAAACGGAATCAATCGAAAATTGTGAAATTTCATCGATATCTAAAATTTTGGTGGCTTATTTATTAAAATACAATGTTACATGGGTCAAAACAACTACAAATTATTTTAATCTTTTTATATTTATGTGTGTGTGTGTACTGTATATATAGGGACAACCAGTAACTCACATGAGGTCACAGCAATAGCAAATAACAACGATCAAATCAAATCAAGTCCCAACCTTCATTTTTTTATATACCATATTTAAATTTACTATCATTAGAAATATAATATATCATACAAAAATAAATCATTTTTCTCTGAGTTGCATTTCAGTGTTTTTTTATAAAAAAAGCCAAATTTCACCACAATAATATTGCATGAATACAATCATAAAATGGACAATGATTTTTCATAACCTTGCTGTCACCTGTTTTAGAGGATAATTCCATAAATTTTAATCTTATTGGTAATAAAAAAAAACTTGTCTTGTGATTTGACTTTTCAGTGTTTTCTGTACAATTGTACATTTTAATGTCTTTTCAAATAACAAATTATATTACAGTGGTATAATTTGGTTAAGATAAACCTACCTATAAATGGCACATAGAAAAAAAAAACTGTGGTGAATTGATTTACATGTCAAAGTAACTAATAACCAGGGCTGCATTTCCCAAAAGTATCGTAAACCTAAGTTGAACGTATAGACCAATGGTGGCAATTGTTCTACGATCAACTTAGGCTTACGATGCTTTTGAGAAATGCAGCCCAGAGGACTACAAGTCAAATGTATAAGACTAGTTAAAAGAGAAGTCCTTTCACCAGTAAAACTAGTGCGAGTCATATGCCATGCCCATAAGAAATGAAAAGTTTGACAACAAATTGTTTGAACAGGGTGTTTTCCTGGAACTAACTCTTTTAGGGTGGTAGCTTCAAACTGGAATGCTCAAACATACATTAAACAACCTGGGGGGAAAATATTTTAGCTTTTCATTCTTACAAAGCCACTGCAGTTCCCTCACAAACCTTAGTTTAGGGAAACATGCTGCACAGAGACCACTGAGATTGGCATCTTTAAATTGAATCTGTCAACCAAATAGCTAAAATGAATCAGTCTTCCCAAATCTTAAAATGACAGGAAGTCAGCAGGAAATCCAAGAATCAAAATGTGATGCGAATTTGGCTTACTCATGTTTTAAATCTGATTTGCTCCCAGTGTGAGGAAGTCACTCACTCTTCCTGTGACTCAGCACTTCCTTTAACTCATCTCAGGAGCTCAGAAAATGACATCAAATTGCAACTCGTCTTGATATTCATCCTTAAAAGGACTGTCTTATCTTTCTATCAAAGAACAGATCTACATCTCTAGAGAAATGAATTAACGCTTTCCATAGCGTTCGGCCCACTATGACAGTAATGTCAATTAAAGTGCAAATACATCAAGAATCAATAAATGGAATGAAAAAATAATCACTTCAGTAACATCAGCTTTTATTTATTTTTTTAAAGAAGAAAAACACTGTAGTGTTTTCAATCCTGTAGCAGTGGTTTTCAATCCTGGTCCTGGGTTCCCACCACTCTGCACATTTGTCTCTCTTATCTGACACTCAGTAACACTCATGGAACTCTCACCTAATAATCTGATGATCTGAATCAGGCATGTTATATAAGAAAGACGCACACAAACGTGCAAACCGGTGGGTCCCAGGATTGAAAACCACTGCTAAAGAAATCCATATGTTCTCAAGACTGGGGTATATTTACAATCAATAAGTTATTTACAACACGAGAGAGCGAGAGACAACATGACTTTGAATGTTGTGAAGTGTACGTCACAGAGCGTTGTACTCCACACACTTTGAGGGATCTGTTGGGAAATGTTTCTGACAGATTGTCATTAATCTTTTCAGCCCCTGAAAAGAAGACCAGAAAAAAGACGATCACTGACCTGATAAACAACACAACTACTATTTCATATAACACTCCTATTCATACTGTCATTTGAGACCTGAATGTATTTCCTTTGGGTCTCGTCATTGAGCACATGGGCGACGTGTTTGGAGAAGATCTTCTCACGTCCAGTACGAGCGTGGATGCCCACCATGGTCACACCGATGGGCCACGGAGCGTTTCCTATAGCCATCTGCAGATACGCATCATTTGCCTGCATGTACACAGTGTGTTAGTCGGGTTTCTTCCCAAATATACTAATTAAGAACTGCAATTCAAAGTATTGTAATCAGTAAGACAAACCTTAACATATTCCCTCTCCAGCATAAACTTTATGATGTCTGTAATGGACTCCTTAATGTCTCCTGGTAAATTCTACATATAGAAGACACAATGAGATAAACAAAAGGCTTGTGAATCTATATCTAATAATACGTTGCATGTAGAACAGCGTACCTTCTTGCGTAGTTTTCTGAAAAGAGGTTCCAGATAAGATTCGGTCTGTTTTTGGGTGGCACTGGCGAGCTTGCCCTGGACACTGCGCTTCACATGGTCCTCTCGGCTGTTTAGATCTTTAGCCCACACGCCCAGCAAGAACTACAGAAATATATATGCATATACAGGCACACAAAATAAAATGATTATACGCTTAAATTAAGCATCAGGTGATTATTAAATCATTATTTAATTAAATTAGGGATGCTAACGATTAATCAAAAATCGCTTGTTGTTAATAATTTAGGGTGTTTACAGGATAACGATGTACTAAAAACAGGAATTTTTTTCCTTTGAGCATTTGAAAAGTTCCGGATACAGACTTCAAAATGATCCCCGTTCACACGGATCCGTGAAAAGGACTAAAAACGATGTCGCGATGTTGAAGGAAAATGTATCAATGTCTTTAAGCCATGCAAAGGAATGGGTAGGTTAGCCGTTTAATTTGAAACAACTTTTTTCAAAAATATATTAAAAATAGAATCTGTATTATTTGAAAAACAATACACCAGAATTGACATTCACTGGCTCAATCATAAACAATTTTGGATAATGTAAAATCCAGTGCGTGATACAAGAATGCAGTATCTTTAATGAACATTCTTTGCATTTCACAGTGAAGTTTTCTGTGTGACTGAAAATAAAATAAAGCAAATAACACAAATTTTACATTAATTACTGAAGCAGTATGAATAAAGGATAATATTATGTCTGACTTGCAAACGAACAGCAGACAGAAAGCAGATTGTTAATAAGTAAAAGTATGCTTTTTCGTATTCTCCAAATTTTCCGTAATGTGTAATGAATATCCTGTTCATTTAGGAAGAAAATTACACTTAGAATGTCTTGAGGTGTGATTCCCACAGAATAAGCAGGCAAACTGATTCCGGGAGAATGTCATCACGTGATTGGACGGAGGCACATACATACACATCAACACAACATTCAGTCAGCGCATGTCCGAGCAGGGTGGTGAAAAGTTCACCCTTAAATTCAGGTTAAACATTTGTAATGTTTGACACAACTGACATCCTTAATTTAAATAATTAATAAATTAGAATATTGGCGGCTGAATGCATTTCTATAAAAATCAGTTCAAGATTTAAAAAAATGTGAGACCACAGTAAATTAAAAAATACATACCCTAAGTACTTTATTTATGACGTCCATGTCTCGAACATCATTACCAGTGCCAAGAGATGCTCCCAGATCCTGTTTTATTCAGGTTATTAGACATGAATGTAGCATCAGACATGAGCCAAATCTTATATTATACAATTACTGAAATCATAAAAGCATTAGTATACAGACAGCCAGTTATCATATAATTGTACATAGATTAGTTCAGGGCTTCCCAAAAAATGTTGTCAGCCAAACCCCTTTAGGTTTACTCTGATACTTTAGGTTAACATTTCAATAATTTAACAACACATTTGCTGTTAGTTATAAAGTAAAATAATATCATTAACTTGACAAACTATACATCAATAAAAAGGTCTCAAGCTTATATTTTTGTTCTCTGTTTTACTGTAAAAAATATTTTAGGGACAATAATTTCTTAATTGAGCTTGAATAAACAGCATCCTGTAGGGCACAAAAGTTTGGACATCTAAAGAAATATTGATGGATCCTCATGTTTATTTTTCATTTCTTTCGAGAGGAGTATTATTGGGAACTCTACTTGTTTTTGTCGTTATGGAGAACATTCGATTTCAGATGTAAGACTATAGTGCCACCTAGCGGGAACATGATTAAAATACTCCTAATCACACATCTTTCTACCAATTGTGGAATTGACCTGCTATATGGATGATATATAAATTAGCTGAAGTTAGCGTTGTGGATTCTATGCGTGTGTGGGTTTACCTCCAGCTCCTCAATGGTGGTATTTTCTTCATGCACTTTGAGGTCGTGTTGTGTGTCCAGTAAAACTGAACCTTCTGCTCCACCCACAATCTCATTCAGATACTGCTGATCGATCTTATCCATGGCAGCCTTCAGATCATTCCTCAAACCCTAAACACACAGACAAGGTAATCCATAAGACTTATGTCAATGAGTATTCAGCGTGAGTCAATAATATAGTATACTATATACTTGAAAGCACTGGCAAAGCAAGTTATAATTTTTTATTCTTGCAGGAAAATTCAATGTGGTTTCCTTGTAAACAAACAAACTACACACGACAAGAGTGTCAACATGGCGAGAGGAAAGTTGGGTCTTACCTTGTTTACTTCTGGTGCTAGAATTTCAATTTTGCGGAGTCTCTGGAAAGCATCATAATCGGATTCGCCAAACAGACGGACCGGCTCGCCTCGTTCCCTCAGACGTCTGACCGCCTACGCGCAGCCCGAAGATTGATTATTCATTCAAGAAAACAAGCACAGTATACGAGTAACATTCGGTGAGCTCTGATTGGCTGACCCACCTCCTGTCGAGAGAGCGTCATTGGCAGTTTCTCCTCCGTGAGCTCTAGTTCTAACACAGGATTGGCTGATGTAGATGGAGGCTCCTCATCCTCAGTCTTGTCCAGCTTGAAAAAAAATACAACATATAGAGAGAGAGAGAGAGAGAGAGAGAGAGAGAGAGAGAGAGAGAGAGAGAGAGAGAGAGAGAGAGAGAGAGAGAGAGAGAGAGAGAGAGAGAGAGAGAGAGAGAGAGAGAGACAAGAAAATGGTCTCTTTTTTCCATGTAATTACGGTTACATAAGGGTGATTCCACTGCAAAGCATATAAATGTAAGATTGAGAAGGGCAGCTTGCAAAATAATAATTAATAAACAACAAAAAGGAAAAACTATCCTGGCCAGATTTTCCAGTAAAAAGGCCAAAAACAGTTACTTCTCCATATAATCATGCAGCTATGTATTTTTAAAATTTGATTAAATCTTATTCTAATCTTGTAGAAGTATGAGCGCACATAATTCTCCCAAGATGCAATGGGTGAACAGCAAGGAATCTGTCACTGAAGCTGTATTTCTTGACACTGATTTGAATTTAACACACCATGCATGCAGTGCACTGCTAAATCAAAACCGAATAGGGAAGTTAAAACAAAACAAAAAGAGCATTGCACAAATGAAAGAGCAGGCGAGACATCTAGAATTTAAGCAACTTGTGATTTGCTCCGGGGTAGGCACCTCTGTCACATGATTTTACTGTGGTCATTATGCAGGCTGGGCTAAAAATTCGGATAGTGCTGCCTTCAGCTTTGTGCAACACTGGGAGCAAAGGCAATTAAACACAAATGTTCTTCAGTCATGCCGAAACCGAAACCCAGTCAAACATCTCTCTGGCAGCATGCATTCTGTCTGCCTGAGCCCTACCTGTCTCACAGGCTGCTCATTAGAAACCTAAACTCACAGAACACACACACAAACAGCAGGAAAGACAATATGAGAAGATACACAGCAGACAGAAGACACTGCTGCTGGAGGAGAAAACTAGAGAGAAAGAGCGAATGCACAAGTATGGGAAGACACATTTTAAATGGGACAGTTCATTTCTTTTAAATCTACAGTGGATGACTGACAGGCAAGTGAGCAAGCCCTCTTTGTCGCAGGGTTATTTTTATTTAACTATTAAAAACATTTTGTTAATTGAAATGAAGCTTAAATACAATAAAATATAAATATTAATTGAAAAACAATCTAAACAAAAATGAGAAATGTTTGCCTTGGCAATAGCCTGAAATAATTTAAAGCAATTAAATTAATTATTGGAAATTAATATAAACTAAAACTGAATAAAACACTAATAAAATGACAAAAGCACATAACGAAATGACTAAAAAGTAAAATAAAATGTACATGAAAAATTATCATTCGAAAAATAAAAGCAAAAGCAAATTAAATAAAACAATAAAACTAAAAAACTAGGGTCTGCTAAAACAGAGTAAAAATATAACAAGTAATCATATTAAAATAAATAAATAAAATGTATTAAAATAAATCTAAAAAATATTAAAATAATTAATAACGTTGATTTAAATAATACATCTAACAGTACAGAACTATACTGAGTAAAACACATAATAAGGTAACAATGGAAACTAAATATTTTACATATTTATAGTATTCATTTTTCACTGTATAAATTGGGTCTTTATAGATGAAAGCTGTTTTTTAAATTTCCTTATAGCTGTCTTTTAAATTTTAGGATGATCATCATATTTGGGGTCCATGGCCGCTAAAAGACAGAAAGTCTGTTATTATAGATATATTATCAGGACGGATTACATTACAAATACAATGTGGTTAAAGGTGTTTACTACGGAGCCCCTAAAGGGACCTTGTATATTTATATTTTTGCAAAGGTCTATGTGTAATACAAAAGGTAACCATTTGTATTACACATTGAACCAAGAAACATGTTTCCTATAGTTAAACCATGGTAACCACGGTTTTACGACACTAACCATAGTTTAAGCATGATAACGTTATTTGTAGTAACCTGGCTGTGGTTATACAAATGTTAATCAATCCGACAAAAAAAAAAAAAAAAAAAATGGCTACTACACTTTTACTATAATAAACCATGGTTAAGTTGTCTATATTCACAGCTGAAGTTTGTACCTTGTATCCACATCTCCTATAATATTCTTCCTCTTCCTTTCGCGCGAGATCAGCCCTTTTGAAGTATTTCTTTGAGTCCTGGAGAAACAGCAAGGGACGGGTACATCATTACACAAACCTACATATACGCACACTAACTTACTGCATAAACGTTAAAAACACAGCTGTAAAAACACAACGAGCTAAGTTAAAGGGTCGAACTATAAAACGTTCTAGAACAGTCGATACTCACGTCTATGAGATCTTTGTCCTCTATAAGCTTTCTTTTCCTCGCGATCTCTGCTTTGAGGATGTCCATAACTCAACAAAATGACAAAAATACTAAAGATTGTATGGCAAAATATGTCACTTTTTTTCACATAAACATTCAACGGGAAGCAGTTTACACTTCCGTCCACTGCTTCCATTCGTGCAGACTGCTGGAGATCAATCTGAGTCATTACTGCCATCTAGTGGATAAATCCGAGAAAGACGCTAAAAAAGTTTGATCGGTGCTTGGAATCAGAGTTCATGTCGCAATATAAAATACAAGAAACAACTCAGTTTGTATTTTTATCTTTTTTGAAAACCTTCTGAATATAATCTGTGGAGAAGCAGACTTCTTCATTTAATATATTAAACATATCTACCTTGTATTTGCATAGTAGGCCTTTATCAGTTGCATTGAAACATTGACCCAAAGCATTTTTTAATTGACTTAATGTTAATTTCTAATACACTTAAGGTTGAATATGGTCCGTGTGTGTGTGTGTGTGTGTGTGTGTGTGTGTGTGTGTGTGTGTGTGTGTGTGTGTGTGTGTGTGTGTGTGTGTGTGTGTGTGTGTGTGTGTGTGTGTGTGTGTGTGTGTGTGTGTGTGTGTGTGTGTGTGTGTGTGTGTGTGTACGCGTGCGTGCGTGTACGCGTGTGTGTGTGCATATAGGCCTATTACTTATATTGCTCGTTAATTAAACAACAGTTGTTCACTACATTATTTTATGATGTTCCAGGTTTATTTTAAATCGATACATTTTAGGCTCATTTTATTTATTTAAATATATTTATGAATTAAAATATTTAATATCTTAGAATTTTTTCTTTTTAATTTCCCCTATTCCCTTTTCACTAATCTCTCATTTATTATAAGCATAAAAAATACACCATAAAAAAAAGAAAAAAGTTTACTCTAATTTGTTGCCTTTAATTTTTACGTAGGCCTATAATCAGCTTGGATATTTAAGTCATTTCGAATGTAATGACTTACATTTTTAATGTAATATTACATTAAACCGAATTTAAAAAAATAGTTGAATCTTATTTTTTTATATAAATATTTTAACTCATCAAAATGATATACAACAATATAAAAACATAGCCTATGTTGTCATAACTTATTGGTCATGTAATGTATTTCAACGCATTGTCCTTTTGTGGGAGTAGTCACAGACTAGACTCAAAGTTTCTTCCACTCTTCACAACAGAACAGTCATTTTCCTCCAGTCTGTCTGATGTAAGTCTGGACCCTCATATTTGCGCCCCACAAATATTAGCGAGCGACCATCAGGTGGCGCAAAGGAATAGACGTGACGAATTCTGAAAAAATTAAGAGGTTTATTTATTTACATCATAAACGAGCAGCCCCGCAGGAGAATGTAAACGCGTCCTGTCCATCATCCTCCTCCTCCTCCTCCTCCTCCTCCTCCTCACCATCATCAGTCCAGAGAGACGCGCGATTATTATTAAAGCTCATTCGCTTCACTCTTCATCAGCTGGACTTAATGAGTTTGTCAGTGATTAAAGAGCCTGTGTGCTGATGAACTGGGCTGGATTCTGCCTCTTCACCGCTCTGCCCTTAAAATGGAGTTTGTGGAGAGGAAGCGGAGCAGGAAATCTCAGAGCTTTAAACTGGTGAATGATGCAGGTAAGCGGACATTCAGTCCTGGAAGATGACAGCAGACAATAGAGCACATCGGAGGCGTTACGTCAGCACTCTGGAATGCACCTGTGAGACAATGTATCATTCCCTCATTGTCCTGCTCGCATCATCACAATGTCAGACGCTTCATTTTGAATCTTCGTTAGATTTAATCGCGTGTTTTTCAGCAGCGTCCATAGTCAATTATTTTTTTATCTTCTGATGCATTTAGTTTGTCCAGTGCTCTTCTTCAAGTGTGATAGAATAGAATAAAGGTCTGTTTGCTGCATGCGTGAATGTGATGATGGTGTGGATGAAGATCTTCACAGTCACGCAACCTACAGGTGGTCCTGCAGCATCACTTCATCACATCTGCACCGCACATACGTCACGCATACAGCTTCTGTTGAGAGTGACATCACAGCAAGAGTACATGGCATGTCAGTCAGCATGTTGTCTTATCCATCCTTAATCTAAAACCATATTTGTTTTAATCCATGCAGTTTTTTTTTACAACTAATTCAAACGTATGCAGTCGTCTATTTTTGTTTTTTGTTATGTTTATTTAAATTAATTTACTGTAAAAGAAATGCTGAAACACACGTTCTGTCACATTGAATGTATTGGTTTTATGTTTAATGTCCTAGAGACCTCATGCTTTATGTGAATACTTTTATTTTCCCTTATTTATTTAAAAAAAAATTCTCTCTCTGATCTAATCAAAACTCAGCCATATGCATGCACTTTCAAAAATGTGGATATGGCTGAAAAAAACAAACAAACAAACAAACAAACAAAACCACCCAAATGATTTGTGATATAAAACAGATATGGATATATGGTATATAATTTATTACGGTATATTTCTTATGTGATGTTTATACTCTTTATACTTCATGGGAGACAGATACTGTATATACACAATAATAATGATTAAAATTAAAATAAAAAATTGGAAAGAGTGCAGTTATACAGTGTGTACCAGCCAGATGATCAATTTTCGTTGCATTTTTATGTCATTAGTTTCATATATATTTATGCATATCTGTTATGTATAGTGGACCCCAAACACAAGTAATGTAAACATTTTGAACATTATTTTAATTTGACATTTTGTTTAGTTAGTTCTTATAAGAATAGTCATAAAGCATGAAATGTTTGGCATGATATTAGATAGATAGATGGATGGATGGATGGATGGATAGATAGATAGATAGATAGATAGATAGATAGATAGATAGATAGATAGATAGATAGATAGATAGATAGATAGATAGATAGATAGATAGATAGATAGATAGATAGATAGATAGATGGATGGATGGATGGATAGATAGATGGATGGATGGATGGATGGATGGATGGATGGATGGATGGATGGATGGATGGATAGATAGATCATACTTTTCTTGTCTTTCCCTCAGCTTTTCTGTTTTTCTGACCGTTTAGATTTTTGCCATGAAATGGATGATGTAGACCAGAATGACACTGAAGGAGAAGCAGCATCTGAGAGTGAAGGTATACTATCGTTCATCACACACTTCATGACATGTTCAGGCTCTCTGTGTTAACTGTGTCTCTCAGTCTGGTTAGGTGACGAAGGGATGGAGATAAAGAAACAGATAACAGGCATGATGCGCTTGCTGAGTGACAAGACAGGACGAGTGTACCAGCGAGTTGGACGAGAGGGAGAGACCCTGAAACAAGAGCCACAGGAAGAGGCTCTCAGCCTGCCCGTGGCACAGAGCCCGGCTCCTGAACATCTCCAGTACGGCTGGAGCTCAGTCCTGCCTCTGGCTCACTGCCAGTACGGCACACGCTCCAAAACCCAGAGGATGCTCAACCACTTGAAAACTAATGGTGAGTCTCTAAGTAATGCAGAGATTTTGTAATCTTCAGAAGATTTGTTAAGTGAGAAAAATCTATATCAAATGCAAAACAGAGCCATGTTTAGGTATGTATATTACACGATGGTATTTGCATGGCCCCAAAAAGTATTTGGACAATTAAGTCACACTTAAAAATGTACACTGTTAAAGATTATATGATCAATAAGTTATGACAACATATGGTTTTACATTGCTTTAACTCATCAATATAAATTGGGCTATTTTATTTGAACTTTTTTTTTATAAGTTATACAAGATTCAACAAATTTTTAAATTTTGTTCAAAAATTCAATTAGTCAGTTTAATGTAATTTAAGTTGAAATGACTTAAACATCCAAGTTGATTAAATTACAAAAAACAAGGCAGCATTTTGTTTTACAGTGTATGAATTTCATTGCACCGTTTGCCATTATATTTTTAAAACAATAATATCTTAGTAAAAACCTTAAGTAATATTGACAAACTATATATCATTTGAAAGCTTACAATCTCTAGTTTCCATATTTGGTGACTGATTTTCAAAATAAATTGCAGAGGAGCTGTAATTTATCAATTTGCAAGAAGAATATTTTCATACTCCTAAGGCGTGTTCAGACCTTTATTTTGAAATAGCAATGAACATGAAAAATCATGAAAAAATGGTAGAAACCTCAGTTTGTTTTCATGCCAAGAGTTCAAAAGATACCATCCATTAAATTATTTTAGAAAAAAAGGTCTGAAAATGTTTTAAATATAAAGAAAAAAATAATAAATTCACCATTTGTGATGTGGCAGTGAGCTATAACGCACATGCGTGTTCTTTGTATGTTTCTTAGAGGTTGAATTTATATCAAAATCTGCCAAACTTCCCATATTACTTCTGAATAGCATGTCTACTTCATAAATTGTATGAAAATTGTGGAAATAATGGTTCAGATAACTCAAAACACATGGAAATGGTGCGCCCTTATATGGGCAGTAATGGAGTCTGGTTGTCATCTAGTGAAAAAGTTTGGTACTGCACCCAAACAAAATCTTACTGAAAGCTCATTTTTTGTAGCCTGGTTAAAACCAGACCATTCTCAGTTGTAACTGAGTTATGGTCTGGCAAAGCGTCATAGACAAATCATTTCCAGAGGGGCGTCACCAACGGACGTCGCAGATAGACCTAAACCCAATCAGAGCGATGAAGGAGATGACGTATGCAGAGCGCCGGCACAACCATCTCCGAGTGTTGTTCTTGAGTCGGTTTTTTACTAAAATGAAACGTTCAAATCGCTTAAAACAGACGCGATAGCTGATGCGAACGAGTGATGTTCGACGGCGGCATCCATCTTTGTAATGTAGGCTAAAATCTGCTTCAAGATCCCAGCGCTGTCGTCATCGTGTAAAGCCCGCCCCAACGTTTCTGATTGGTGCCGCGATTTCAATGGATTGGAAATGGGCTTGAATGAGCTCTTTGCCAGACTAACTTTCAGAGCAAATCTAAATTTGCCGGAAGTTGTCTGGGTTTTCCCAGGCTACATTTTTTGAGATATCAACCTAAAATTTGATACACAACTTGTCCGTTTTTTGGCTTTGATTTTTCTGCAGTTTTAGAGTAGCCCAGGTTTTGAAAATATATATTTTATATAAAATATGAATAATAAATGTTTTTACATTGTACATTTCCATAAACTCAAACTTCTATAACTTTTTTTCTGTTTCACTTTCTTAATGTATTTCACTTCTACAAAAATCTTGTTTAAAACAAGACCAATCTTACATCTATATTCCAAAGCATTCTTGAATTACAACCATTTAAGTTCGAAATGTGCATTCAGGGTTAAAAAAAGTGGCATTTATTTTTAAGAAATATAGCACAAGCACATTTTCAGGAAACATTTTCACAAAAAAAAGAAGTTTGCCTTAAATTTTGACATTTACATAAATGCATTTAGCAGACATTTTTATCCGAAATGACTTTTGAGCTAAACATTTTATCAGTTTAGGCACTGCCTGTGAATTGAACCCATATAAATTCACTCAATTCATTACTAGGTAAGACAATCAATATATTGTTCAAAATTAAGAAAAAAAGAATACTTTGTGAATGTCAATGGTTAATATAATGACCTACAGCTGTGGTTACTTTATGTAGAAAACTGAAGTTGGCATTATTTGGTTGCTCGTGCTACTTGGACATTTCATAATATAATTCAATAACAGTGAGACATTACTAAACATGATTAATTTTATAATGATATATTTGATTTGATTTTAGTACATTTGATTTTTGAGAGCACTTTATTTTATTTTTGTACATTTTATTGTATTTTCAGTTTCCAGTCCAGAGTTTTGCTACTAAACCACACCACTTCTCTTAACATCTATAGTTTAGAGTTTGAAGGGCTTCACATAGGAAAACAGGAAGATATTACATGAACCCCCTTTGGGATTCTTTCCAGGGGAAGTTGTATTATGTGACTGTTGGCTGCAGAAAGATGTACTGTCTGGCACCGCAGACTGTCTAGACAGCTTTGGATAACACAGCAAACACGTAATGTCTTTCTTCTGTACACACAAAAAGAAACAATAACTCTCTCACTGTCAGTCTGGAGTCAGAGAGTCAGGTGGCTTTTGTGCCGGGTGCTTGGAGCCTCTGGGTGTGAGACATCATCAGTGATGGGCGTTGTGTTGACGATGCATCTGTGTTCTGATTCAGACACGGCCTTGCCCCCTGCGCCTGCTGCCATGGCAACTGAGCCCAGCTGCTGTATGTGCAACTGCAAGAGCACCCTGCAGGCCATTCTGCTGGAGTTACGTACCATGAGGAAACTAATCCAAACTCAGAGAGGTAAATCATACCCCTAAACTCATCTGAACGCACCTACAGCGCATTTACCCGTGTTCTGCTGTACTCTCAGGGACCCAGGACAAACAGGTCTCCCAGGTCTCACTTTCCTCGTCCCGAGCCTCTATCTCCAGGAGGAGGACTCGAAAGAGGAGGCCAGGTCACAGAGTGACACTTCTGACTACGGCCACTAAAAAAGGCACACCTCTGTCTCCACCTGCTGAGGTTGATACTGTTACTGAGAGTAATCAGTCCAGAGAGGACACACTGGCAACATTTATCCCAGATCCCATTCCCAGTGTGAAGACACCTCCCTCTCACTACAGCGTCACCAGAGGCCAAAGCACCACAGAGGTACACCGCTGTGAATGCGTGCGAGAGTGAATACATTTGTACCCAGGGATTGGTGAATTGTGAAAAATTGTTTGTCATCAAAAGTTACTTTTTTAAATATAATATAATATAATATTTGTGCATCCTTGTGTCCTTTACTCGCGTCTTAGCTCCACCCCCTTACACACTTAACAACTGTAAAGCCGATTATGAATGTAATTTTATACTTACGACTGATCATGCCCACACACGCCGAGTCGCGTTCAGTCGGTGTTCACAGTCAGTGTTTAAAATCTGCTCCAGTCGTTGGAAACGGTCTGTAAGTGTGTTCAGTTCAGTCTTAGAATGTTTCAGCTAGTCTTTAAGTGTATCACTGGCATTATGATGTGAGTGAAGGACACACCTGCGTAATCTTGCTCATCACACCTCAGGAAGCTTCCTCGTTCCTCATTAACCCGGCATGTTTCAGAAGGACCAGTCAGACAGTTTTATTTACTTGCCAACCCACATTTTTACTCTTGGCAAGGTTTTTTGTTTTGGACCATGTTTGCACCCATCAGATTATGGCCATGTCTTTCTTTCTAAGCAAAAGAAAGAAGCATGTCTTTCTAAGCATGTCTTTCTTTCTAAGTTTCACAACTCCCTAGGCGTTGTGTTTGTACCGACAACTGTGTATATGAGTATAATGAGTAATGTAAATTACTTAGAAATGACTGTTTTTTTTTTTCTGTGTATATATCTTCTATTTTTGTCTCATCTGACTAAAGGTGCAATTGTGGAATGAGTACAGTGTATGTAGTGTGTCACTGTATGAGTGTGTATTAATGACTTTTATTAATATCTCGCCCGTCTGTCTCTCCCAGCCGGAGGTACAGTTGGCCGAGGATTATGACATATTTATTCCTAAAGCACAGTTGGACTCTATCTTACTGAACTACACACGCTCTGGCAGCCTGCTCTTCAGGAAACTGGTGTGTGCGTTCTTTGATGATACAATTCTGGCGAATTCACTGCCCAACGGCAAGAGGAAGAGAGGTCTGAATGACACCAGGAAAGGACTCGATCAAAACATAGTTGGAGCCATTAAAGGTGTGTGAAAATAAATAAACCAGACTTGAATTTACTCAACATCAATGTAGAGAACATTATGATGAATTTATACAGTAGCTCTAAAAAAAAACATATTTGGACACTTAAAAAAATGTCAATGCATTAGATAATCAAATATTAACCCATGTGGTGCAAAACATTTCACAGCAAGACTTTTGTATATATACATATGTATTTCCACCTCAATCACCGGCCGCTATTAGGTACACCTTGCTACTGTAGTACTTTTCCCTTCAGAACTGCCTTAATTATTTGTGGCATAGATTTAACAAGGTGAAACATTCCTTAGAGATTTTGGTCTATATTGACATGAAATAGATTTGTCAGCTGCACATCCATGATGCGAATCTCCCGTTCCATCACATTCCAAAGGTGCTCTATTAGATTGAGATCTGGTGACTGTGGAGGCCATTTGAGTATACTGAACTCATTGTCATTTTCAAGAAACCAGTTTGAGATGATTTAAGCTTTGTGACATGGAGCGTTATCCTGCTAGAATAGCCATCAGAAGATGTGTCTGTGGTCATGAAGGGGGTGGACATGGTCAGCAATAATACTTGGGTAGGCTGTGGCTCCATTGGTAGAAAGGGGCCCAAAGTGTGCCAAGAAAATATCCCACACACCATTACAACACCAGCACAGCCTGAACCGCTTATTCAAGGCAGGATGGATCCATGTTTTCATGCTGCTTATGCCAAATTCTGACCCTACCATCTGAATGTCGCAGCAGAAATTGAGACTCATCAGACCAGGCAACATTTTTCCCATCTTCTATTGTCCGCTTTTGGTGAGCCCGTGTGAATTGTGAGATCAGTTTCCTGTTCTTAGCTGACAGGACTGACACCTAGCTCATCTGCTTCAAGGTACGATGTGTTGTGCGTTCAGAGATGCTCTTGTACAGACCTTGGTTGTAACGCGTGACTTTCAGTTACTGTTGACTTCCTATCAGCTTAGCAGATTGTCTTGACCATGTCTACATTAATGTTTTTTGCCACGTGATTGGCTGAATAGATATTTGCATTAACGAGCTGTTGAACAGGTGTACCTAATAAAGTGATCCATGTGTATGTATGTATGTAAATAAAATCTGTAATAAAATGTGTATATATATAATGTTTTTTAATCTGTAATTTGTTTCTGTGTGTATGAATCTAGTGTTCACAGAAAAGTATTGCACTGCCAATGGAATTGAGAAGCTTCCCGGCCCTAGAGACTGGGTCCAGATTCTGCAAGACCAGATTAAACTAGCCCGTCGACGCTTAAAAAGAGGTGAGAATGTGAGAAAGAGAAATATATATGGCATGAGGCATTAAAAAGACAGGGCAAGGGAAAAAGAAAGAGAGAGAGCAATGCTGTTGTAACAATGCTGCTGCTTCATGATTGATGGTTTGCTAGTTGAGTCCTTTTAAAATAATTAATTGATCATTAAAAAATTAATTTATCAAATGTTATCATTCATTTGATTTATTTTTATTGATTTGCAGCAGAGACAACCTCAGACAGTAGTGATATTCAGCACAAAACAGGTACTCAGACACATTGACCCAAACCCACACACACAGCATGAATGAAAGCGCTTCATATTGATGTGCCTTACCTCACAATATCCCAGCATTCTTTGCAATACCAAATCATATTAGACTGGTTATGTCCACGAGTTAAAGATAACAACTTTTCTTAAATAACTTTAGGGAAAAAAGTCCATTGGAATACTATTCCCACTAGTATTGTATCATCTTTATTCCTTTTTGGAATTTGGAATAATTATTTTTTTATTATTATTTTTTTTTTTCAGAGAAAACTGTTGATAAAGTGGAAACTGTGATGCAAAATGGTATGGCAATGCACATGCACCTTTATCTCACTCTCCAAAAGTACCATTGTTCTTAAGTAACACTTTCTTTTGTACCGCAGGTGCTGTTTATGAGAGAACAGAATGTCTAGTTGCTATGGACACTGCCTGAGAAGAGATTGTTTTCAACAAAATGCAATCTCCGACCCCCACAAAGGAGTCATTTTTAATAGTTTCGTCTGTATAGACTGTAGCACGTGTCGACAGATATGGCTTTGAAATTCTCATGGTCAGCTGTGTAACAGACAGAATGTTTGTGTGGAAAGAACGGGCAACATTTGGCTGATCAGTAGGACCCCTGCTGGCATTCCCGACAACTATGGACACACTTTTGTAACACAAGTACTCTCATTTGATCATTTTAAAGTGGGTCGTCCCAGATGTCACTAGTTGTCTTCTATTAAAGGGTTAGTTCACCCAAAAATGAAAATTCTGTCAGTAATTACTCACCCTCATGTTGTTCCAACCCCGTAAGACGTTCGTTCATTATCGGAACACAAATTAAGATATTTTTGATTAAATCTGAGAGCTGGATCACTCCTCCATAGGCTTCTTAAGGGTTCGAAACTGGCCGGCCCAAAAGTTATGAAAGACATCGTTAAAATAGTCCAAGTGACTACAGTGGCTCAATCTTAATTCTTCAAGCTCAATTCTTCAAGCGACGAGAATACTTTTTGTGTTCAAAAAAACAAACAAAAATAACGACTTTATTCAACTATTCATTTCCTTCTCTGTACGGCCGTGATATTCCACGTAGTGGAACTGCGCAAAGCTTCTAGGTTGTACGTCACACATCACACACATGACCAGCGTCGGCCAATAGTGAGCCTGCGTGTGACGTGCAACCTAGAAGGTTTGCGCAATATCACTACATGAAATATCAGGCCCACAGAGAAGGAAATGATTAATTGAATAAAATCGTTATTTTTGTTTGTTTTTTTGCGCACAAAAAGTATTCTCGTCGCTTGATAAACTTAAGATTGAGCCACTGTAGTCACTTGGACTATTTTAACGATGTCTTTCATAACTTTTGGGCCGGTCAGTTTCGATCCCTTAAGAAGCCTATATGGAGGAGTGATCCAGCTCTCAGATTTAATCAAAAATATCTTAATTCGTGTTCCAAAGATGAACGAAAGTCTTACGGGGTTGGAACAACATGAGGGAGAGTAATTACTGACAGAATTTTCATTTTTGGGTGAACTAACCCTTTAATATATGGAAGTGTTTGTAGTTTTTCAGCTTCATCCAAATGCTTCACCAACAGATATCAGCAGAACTGCTGAAAAAAAACATGACTGTGCCTTTAATTCACTCTGCCATGCCAAGCAACAAACTGATGTCATTTCACGGTTGTGCTGTTTATTGACACTTTCTGGTGAAATATGTTGCAGTTTCTATATTAATTGTACTTAATGTCACATTTGCTGCACAGTCTTACTAATGTGTCGTCGGTTATATAATCTGGCTGACTGGTTATGTAGAAATGTAACTGTTTGACTTCCTGTGTAAGAGGGTTTAGTGTCTATTGAATGTGTACAAATGAGTGAATATGAACATTGTCCTGCGTCTGTGTAACAAAGGGTTTTTACCTCACGGTCAATAATGCTTGAATAACTATTCATGTTAATATCTGGGTTAAATACTAGTTAAGCTTTTTGGATAGCATCTGTGGCTCAAGTCATGTCTGTTTGTAAAAGCAGTTCTAAATGCACACACAGAAATGCAGTTACATTGCACATTTGCCCCTTAGACGTCCACTGTAAGTGCACAACTGTCACCTCAGACTGATGTTTGCTTTCCCAAACTGAGATATAACTCAAAATGAATGCTGCAGATGCGGTTGAAAACGCTTAAGCGTGACTATTCCTTTAAGAGCACAGATATTATATCTGTATCTCCTTTTTAATATGCCTGTTTTAAAAAAAGATAAAGCTCAATTTAACGTTTAGTTGTTTGGTCTAAGACGTCAAATAAATACTATGGCTGTGTCCTAAATGGTTGATCTAAACCTGTTTCAAATATGCTTGTTTTCCCCCACCATACAGTCAAGTGTCCATATTCAAAAATTCATCAAGTTAAATTTTCTGTCACACTGAAGAAACAGAACCACAACACTTAAAGGACATAAAAACATATATTTAAAATGTTTTTAATGCTTTTGTTGCCAGATTTTGCAATTGTATATAGCCTATATTTATTTCATAAAACTGTGAAGATTAAAATTGGTGGGCTATATTTGCATTTGTGGATGTAGAAATTACAAAAACAAAATGAAATGTATAATAAAACAAGTATCATCATTCAAATTATAGTTTATTTTGTAACCAAAAAGAATACATATATAAAGTAAAGACAAAAATCTGTAAATACTCATAAAACTGGCAAGACCACAATAAGTTTAAAGGTACAAACTAATGTGTAAATACTCATAAAACTGGCAAGACCACAATAAGTTTAAAGGTACAAACTAATGTGGACATTTTTTGTTGCCGCACTCCGATCTCCTTTAAAGGGGAGGTGAATACGTCACGCGGGAAAGAAGGACCCTTGTAGAACTTCGACTTTTTAATTCAAATATCTCCTCAGAACACTTATTAGCTAAAATTGATGTTCGGGATTAATGTATCATCACATGAACAGTTAAAATAATCTTGTACGCAACACGAATATGGCGCTGTTCGCCAAGAAATAAAGTATTGAATTCAGTGTCAGTCTTTTCAGGCACATTTTCGAGGCGCCCTTTCTGCGCGCGGTGCATTGCGGGAGCGTCGCGTCTCTTGTATCGAGCGAAACCGGTAAGCACAAACTGAACAGCACAATTAAAGGGGAAATGGGGCACGAATATAACTGTGCCACAATGCATTAAGTGTGAGGAGAGCTATCTTATTTATTCCAGTAGAAGACATATTCAGCGGAATTTGTGTAAAGTGCGTCAAATAATTTTAATTCTTTATTATTTCTCTGTTGTGCACACTGCAATCATGGCGCGGGCGCTTTAAGGGTTAATTTTTTCCACCGCCGACATTTTTAGAAACATTGCGGCCGGCTTTCTTCTGTTATAAGTGTGGATCATCTGACTTTTTAAATATTTTCTTAGCGTGCATAAGTTATACTATATATTAGATGCGATGAAATGTGATCGAGCAGCGGGAGGCGTTGCATTGGATCAACGCGTGCAGCGGTATTAGTGATTCATGAGCGAATTGTTCGGTTGAAATGATTCTTTTTTTAAATGACTCATTCAAGCTGTTTGCAAGCGCCTGTATCTTTTATTGTTGATTCTTTAACATATTTGAATTTATTAATGTAAACCTATGAAGGCAAAATCTTATTTTCGCTGCTTTAAAGACTATTGGTAATCATCTAGCTTAAGTAAAAAAATGGAAAGAGTAACAATTCAGCAAACTGATTTTTAAAAAAAATATATCTGTATTTCATTGGTTTGCTTAACAATTAAATTGTGCTATAGGTATTTGTTTGCTGCCTTTACTGTATAAGTTGGTGTCTGAATCGACATTATAAATGTAATATATTTGTTGTGCTAAAAAAAAGTTGCGCTGAGAACTTTGGGAACTCTTGGGTGATTAATAAAAACGAGTCAAATAAATTTTCCGCTGGTTCATTGAAAAGAACTCTTCGAACGAATCGAATCACTAAATGAATCAGTCTTGGATAAAGAGTGCGCGCCACATCAGTGCAGTTCGAACTATCGGATCCAAGAGATCTCAAAATCAGCATGCACCCATATATCTACATAAAAATGCCTTGCATGATCTGATTTTAAAGAACCAACCATTTATCAACAGGAAATAAAGTCTAAATAAAGAGTAGAATTTGATAAATCTGTTAGGTTGAATGTTTGTTTGTTTTTTTATGAGCGGGGCTGTTGGGACGGTAATTCAGAGGGAGAGAAAAACGTTGCCATGTAAACAAGGGAGGATGGACAGTTTATTTCAGCTCAGCAAGAGTTTTAAAAAGAGCTGATGTTTTTAAAGGGGAGGATCACCTCAGAGCATCAGTTGCATTATTTTGATTCATATTTGGGGTGAAACAGTAAAATGCTATATGTATTATTGTCACTAGTTGCATGTTTGCTTGTTTGAATGATCTCTTTCAATGTCTTAATGTTGTAGCTTTACACACTTTAATGTTTATTTCTTTCTTTTTCAGATTGCATTTGCCATAGTTTGAAGGAGGTCTGTAAGCCATTGTGCGTGCCAGTAACGTTTTGTTTTTTTAAACATGTCGGTGCGGGAATCTTTTAACCCAGAGAGTTATGATCTGGACAAGAACTTCAGACTAACACGCTTCACAGAGCTCAAGGGAACGGGTTGCAAAGTCCCTCAAGATGTGCTCCAGAAATTGCTGGAATCCCTGCAGGAAAACCATTATCAGGAAGATGAGCAGTTCCTCGGGGCTGTAATGCCCAGACTAGGTACACACACACACACACATTGTGTTTTCATGTTTTGTGGGGACTTTTCATATATAGAATGATTTTTATACTGTTCAAACTGTATATTCTATCCCCCTACACTAACCCTACCCCTAAACCTACCCATCACAGAAAGCTTTCTGCATTTTTACATTTTCAAAACACATCACTTAGTATGATTTATAAGCTGTTTCCCCTTATGGGGACTAAAAAATGTCCTGACAAGGATTTTGGATATTGCCATCTTTGTGGGGACATTTTGTCCCCATAACGTACAGTTTACCTGGACCACACACAATTTTTTTTTAAGATATTTTATTAGTCTGGTCAGAGAAAAAAATTCTTAATGGAATGGTTCTCAAAAAAGAGGAACATTTGTCATTATACTCTTTATTGAGACCTTCATAGTTTCTAAATCTTAAATGACGAAACAGAATTTTCATTTTTGCATGAGCTATTATTTTGTAATTGCATGAACTTTCAGCACTTCTTAAAACTTCAGGAAAATCATTAACCCTCTTTGAAATAACAATGTTTACTTCCAATAGGCATTGGTATGGACACCTGTGTGATTCCGCTGAGACATGGAGGCTTGTCACTTGTGCAGACCACAGATTATATCTACCCCATAGTGGACGATCCATATATGATGGTAATACTCACTTTAAAATAACATTAAAGATGTAATGCATCACAGACTGAAAATGTGTTTTTTTGTACGAATTCTCTTGTCTTCTAGGGGAGAATTGCTTGTGCCAATGTGCTGAGTGACCTGTACGCCATGGGTGTAACAGAATGCGACAACATGCTGATGCTTCTTGGTGTTAGCAACAAACTCACAGAGAAGGTGAGGCTGA